TGAAAGCTGAATAAATAAGCTTTCCATTTGATTGATGGTTTGTTAGGATAGGACAATATTTGGCCGAGATACAACTATTTGAAAATCTGGAATCTGAGGGTGCAACAAAATAAAAATATTGAGAAAATTGCCTTTAAAGTGGTCCAAATTAAGTTCTTAGCAATGCATATTACTAATCAAAAATTAAGTTTTAATATATTTACAATAGGAAATTTACAAAATATCTTCATGGAACATGATCTTTACTTAATGTCCTAATGATTTTTGGCATAAAAGAAAAATCAGTAATTTTGACCCATACAATGTATTTTTGGCTATTGCTACAAATATACCCCAGCGACTTAAGATTGGTTTTGTAGTCCAGGGTCACAAATAAGTTTTTTCTTGACTATTGACCGTTTTAAATCTAACATTGTTTATTCTTAAAACTTTTGTGATTAAGAAATGTACATTATTTATTAGATTTTTAGCATTATATAAGAACAAATTGTATATTTTTTACAGATAAAAAAAGTGCACACACACCTTCTCAATGAGGTACCACACAGGTGCCCGTCCTCGAGGGCTAGGTGGTGTCCAGTTCAGAACAATGTATGTTTTGTTTATTTCTGTAGCATGCACATTGGTGGGTGGATCTGGTATCGTTACATACACTAAACAGGAATAAATCAGATGTTTATTTATACAAAATAATACTTTTAACATAACATCTACATATAAACTCTTATTTGCAGTGTGTTAGTAACTTAGTTCTAATGTATTGAGACAACATGAATTTTTTGGGAAAAAAAGGACCTGTCAAATAAAGCTACTGTAGAGAAAGAACTGAAAGGCAGTATATTAAAGTGATTACTTTACCGTTCCTCAGAATATTCTGTGAATATGCTGAGTATTGTAAGGGAAATAATTGTAGAAGACAATAAGTATTGTTTAAGAAAATAAATATTAGCCAAAAATTCAGTTTGTCATTCTGGTAAATCAAATTTTAGATTTTAGACCACACTGCAGAAAAAAACAAACATTTTAATACTTTTAACTTTATTTAATTGGATTAATTTAATTGAGGTGGATTTAATTAATTTAACAGATTATTTCACCCATTTATTTGCTGGTTAAATTCAATCTGAGGAACAACCGTTTTGGGTTAAATGCGGTGATGACAGTAAATCAGTCTTGGAAAATTATTGGTTAGTTGATTAGCCAGTTTACATTCAATATGTGACATTATCTAACCTAAATTATTATCATTGCTACCATTTATTCATTTTCGCTCTTGTTGTCAGACCAGTCTGTGCAGCTGACATTAAATACTTTTGGGAAGTCTTGTAAACAGCATGTTGCTATTTCTTTTCTAACTATACATTTTTATTTTATATGCAGTTTACATGACCTCATATTAATTGGGTGATTACATATTAATATTACATGTAATATCTTTACTTTTAAAAATGAGTTTGTCACAAGTCAGGACTATTTAAAATGAAGCCAAAAAAAGTGATTAAAAATGAAGGAAAAAAAGGACACTTTCCATTCATTTGAATTTTAACCTAAAATCTTGAAGTTGATGAAAAAAGTCCATGGATATGTCACGTTTTTTTTTTTAAATAAGAGGTAAATGAAATGTTTGAAATCAAGGTTTATGTTTAACCCTTGACGTTTTACTAGATGGAATGAATGAATGAAAAATGGACTGTTAAGTTGTAAGGTATTTTGACAGAAACAACATGCAGTTGGTTGGATTGAAAGGATGGAGAGAAATTATTTATATAAATATTTCATTACATTTAAATTAATTAATTATTTAAATGTTTTTTTTTATTATTTAATACATTTAAATTATTTATATTTTAATTTCAGTTATTTAAGAATTCCACTTATGGTGTATAATTTTATTTGTAGTGCATGTTCACCTGTCCACAAAGTATCCAGTGATGGGAGCCTCATGGGTGGTGTTTGGAGGTTTCCAGGAGACCAGGACGTAATCCGCATTGACATCAAAGACTGCAACATCCATGGGGGCTCCAGGGGCCCCGGCCACTGTGGGAGTGGCATCTGTGAAACAAATACACATACATATTCAAGTACATACAGTATATTTAATGGATGTATCAAAAAAGGAATTCAATAGCTTTTTCATTTATGTGTTATACTACATGTAATACCTCTCCAGAACCCCTAAGGTGACAAGGTGGGGAAAAAAATTAAATATGATAGGAAAAATTATATTTCAATACTTGAGCGTTTGCTCACAAATTTTTTTGAGTACACTCAAAAATGTTTCTCAGGGCAACATGAACGTTTGCCAGTAAATGCAAAAGCATTGAAATATAATTTTTCTTCCCACCTCATATTATTTCCATCACCTTTTGCATTCTCTCACAAAGGTTTCTTGTGGTAACCCAAAACTTTTTCGAGTAAGTGCAAAGTTTCTTGGGGAACGCAAAAGTTTTGCTAACGAAAGGAAAGTTTCTAAGGGAAACATGATTATTTGCCAGGAAATGCAAAAGCATCGAAATATAATTTTTCCTTCTATCTCATATTTTTTCCATCCCCAGAACTTTAGCATTTTCACAAGAAAATTTGGGTTTGCTCACAAAATTGACAAGTTTTATGAGGGAACACAAAAGCGAGTGTGAAGTTTCTCAGAGGAATGCAAAGTTTGAATACAGAAAAGTTTGCGAACAAAGGCAAAAGGATCGAAATATAATTTTTCCTCCCATCTCATTTTATTTTCATCCCCAGAACTTTTGCATTTGCTCCCTAAACATTTGCATTCTCTTACTAAATTTTTCTGAGCGAACACAACGTTTTTTGGGGGACACATTTTAATATAAATATTCCTCATGTTTTTTTCTACAACCATGTCCCCTCCTAGTTGTTGTAGTGATGGTTAGATTACTCATGCATTTATCACTTATTTTGTACCTTTAACAAACAGGTAAGCACTGTGTTCTGCAGTTCCATCCTTGGTCCAAATGCAAAGCGTGTAAAGACCCTCATCGTCCTTGTTCAGGTGAGGAAGAGTGAGCTTGGCGACCCCACCACCAATAGACATCTCAGCCCACCTGGATGGCATTAGCAAAGTATCTAAACACACAAATACAAAGTATTAGTATCAGTTTAACGTTTTCAATGGTTCTAATCTGAATGAGAAATGCAGCATCTCACCATCTCTGTACCACATGGCCTCGGGTGGCAGGTTTGGCAGATCAGGCACCACCACCATGTTGGCCACCAGACTAACAGACTCTCCTTCGGTACCAAACGTCACCCCAAATGATTCCAGCAAGGTCACCTCAAGCTTACTGGGATGAATGCCGCTGAGCAGAGGAACTACAGGAAACACAATAGAAACTCAAGACCACCTGTGGGTCAGATATGCACCATACCAACAAACCAAACCACCTGATATGCTTGTGCAAAAAATGTTTAGCTAATGTGTCCGTGTGATATAAATCTATAAGCTAAATCCTCATATTTATTTATGCATTTAATTATTTTAGCACAATTAATTTCCATGACAGTTTTTCGTGATTATTGGATATTTTAAGTATAGAGACTACAAATATTTTAAAGCTGCAAAAAAAAAAAAATGTAAAAAAAATATCCACCATAGATATTTCCATGACTTTTAAATATTTTACGATTTTCTTATAAGATGATAGGTAAAATTATATTTCAATCTTTTGCATTTGCTAATAAAACTTTTCATTCACTCACAAAACTTTTGTAGTCCCTCAAAAAAGTGATTATTGGATATTTTAATTATATTGCACTCACAATGATCAGTTCCTAACATTTATGAAATATTTTAGAGCTGCAAAAATAAATAAATAAATAAATCCACTATAGACATTTCCTAAAATTACTATCATCTTATAAATATTTTAAAGTTGTATTAATTTCTATGATTTTTCATGGTAATCATAATTTTAAAAAGTAATATTTATCTACTTTTAATTTATTATTTAATATATTTAATTGTATTTATGTTTTATTTGTTTGTTTATTCATTTTCACATTTATTTATGTATTTATCAGCCATACATCATTTACTTAAATCCCCAAGAGGTAAACTTCATCCGTTATTGTCAGCCTATTGTCTTCACATTTCATATTTATTACATTTCATATTAACTTTCACATAACAAAAGCCAATTCTGTTTATAATTGTCCACAACCCAGTTCTTCAGTAACTATGAATGCATGCTGTTTGTATATTGACAACTCTAGGAGGTGTTTACCACACTGCCTTCTGTTTACAAGCACAAATGAACCCTGGGAAAAATGTGACATTGTTTCCATGTCTTATCAAGGCTTTCAGCCTGGAACAGAACAGATATTTATGGCTCATGATCTCCGTCATGACCGTCAGACCTGGACCTCAGCCAAACACAAGCTCCATCTCACCTTGTCCTGGCAGATGGGAGAGCTCTCCTCCCCCTAGTGGCCCTACATGGAAAGACAAGCAAGGTAGATTACTAAAAGACCACCGAATGACCAAAAGAGAAAGAGAAAAGATATGAGGAGAAAAGAAGACACACTCACTCCTAACACAGACAGTAGCCTTGGAGGTGGCCTTTCCATGCGGATTGGTTGCCACAGCACTGTATATCCCAGAATCAGTAACTGCACATCTGCAATCAAACAACACTATTTCACAATGTGAATAAACAGCCTTAAAGGGTTAGTTCACCCAAAAATGAAAATTAGGCTGCGTTTTACTCACCCCCGAGGCATCCTAGGTTTATATGACTTTCTTCTTTCAGACGAATCCAGTCAGAGTTATATTAAAAATTGTCTTTGATCTTTCAAGCTCTATCATTGCAGTCAGCAGGTGTTGCATTGCTTCAGTCCAAAAGAACTTAAATAAAAATCCCCCATCCATAAAACAAAATTGTCTCACACGGCTCTGAAAGAAGAAAGTCATATACACCTAGGATGCCTCGGGGGTGAGTAAGACGCAGCCTAATTTTCATTTTTGGGTGAACTAACCCTTTAAAATTAGTGTTCTAACCAGAAATATAAAGAATTATCTTCAGTGCATTTCAAAAGATACTGTATATTATAGATTATATTGGCCATATGGGACATACTCACTAGATTTCAGATTAGTTTACCCCAAAATTTGTATTTTAACAAAATTAAAATTGTCATCATTTACTCGTGTTGTTTCAAATGTATGTCATTGCATGACTTTCTTTCTTCCATGAAACACAAAAGAAAATTGTGATATTTTGAAGAATGATATTTTGAAGAATGTTGGCAACCAAACCATTTTGGTGACCATTGACTTCCATTGTTATGGCTGAAAAAACATCAACATGAGGATGTATAAATGATTTTAAACAGAATTTTCTTTTTTGGGGTGTACTAACTAGCAACTGAATGAGCAATGTCATGAACAAAGATACTCACAATTAGCATTAGAGATTAAATTATATATCAAATCACTTTACAAAATAAAGGTGAAGTGTGTGATTTCATTGGTGATACAATCTGATAGCTCATATGCTGGGCTGGTTGGAATGTTCAAAGAAACAGTAATGTTTTGAAAACAATACAGGGTCACAGTTTTTACATTTTTTGGCTAAATTATCTTACAATTGTCTGTGCATATTAAAATGGGAAAGAAGAAACTCATATGGCTAGTTAACAGGGTGGAAACATGCTCTCTATGTTCCTCACACCTCTTTCAAGAACCATTTGGTATGAGTGGAGAGACTTTGCATCCACACTTGATCTCACACGACAGCAGTGTTGGTCTCAGACATGCTGTGCTGTCCTTGAAGGAGTGAGAATAGAGCACCGAAATGTGACCTTCAGTCCATGAGGACTATTTAAAGAGCCACTCCTTTTCCTTTGCAATGCATAAGACATGTTTGTCCTAAGCAATACACCAATTTTCTTATGTATTTGTGTTATTTAATTTCTCTCTGAGAGTAGTAAAATATGTAACAAGATTTTCTGAGAATGAATGAGTGTCACTGCGATGGCCTGTGATCTCTGAGAGGTGCTACTGTAATGGCGGCTTTGAGTCTTCACGCGCGTCAGGCGTTCCAGGATCAAATGACGCATGGCTAAGTTGAGCAGAACCAACAGCTGAGACTTCTTCAAGATGAACCTCACTGGGACTAAATTGGAAAGTGTCGCTCTCACAAGTACTTCATTCACTTTCGCAGGCCATTACAGATGGAAAATGGTGAGTTGCACTCTTCCAAACAGTCTTTAAAAATCAACAAAGAGGACCATAAAAGTAGCCATGGTTTGTAAGCTACATTAATCCATGTGAATGAAATTTAAATAATTAGTCACTGACAGTGTGGCCTTGAAACAGCTGTGGACACCATTCACACTCTTAAAAATATCCTGTTAAATTTATGGTAAATTTATTTGAGATATTTGCGGAGAGTCAACCTGTCAGCTGTGATTGACAAAACACCATCACACCTGAAATAAATGCAATAAAATACCACTAAAATAATACAATACAAACTAAATAACATAAAATGCAACTCAAAACACCCTTATGAAAATGGAGTTTCTTTTTAGTTTTAGTTCTTTTAAGGAAACTACTAGAGGCCTAACTGTAAACTGAGGGTTTTGTGAGGTCATACCTGCTAATAATCAGACTGTGAACCCCATACTTGTTCTCAATTTTGTACTTTCCAGGAGCGCTCAAGGGTTCAATGGCAACATTATTCCTATACCTGCCAATACAGAGAAATACAGTTCAGTTATGCTTAATTTTACCCAAAATAGTGAGAAAGAAACATAGAACACACATTATTAATAAAGCATGAGCAGAATAAATACACGTGACAGTTCATTTAAGCATGGTTTTACAAACTATTTACAGCCAAATTTCTTCTTCTCATGTTTTAGGAATAAAGTCTGAAGATCCCATTGCTTTTTGTTAAGAATATTCAAATGATATTACAGATTATGTTGCTGAAGTTTAAGTCAATGCATTAAATAATTACCAAAAGCAGATTATATGAAGGGTTTGAATATAAAATTGAATCCAAACCATTTGACAATAGGGTTGGGTTTGCCGGACACAGTGCAGAACAGCTTGACGGGAGTCTTTTCCCACACGGTGTGAGATCTCAGACTGACCAGGAAGTCCGGTGCTTTGGGAACCTCAGCAGGATAATCCTTCCTCAAAGGCATCATTCCCTTCACCTGTTATAATACAGGAAAGACTGAGTAAAGAGTCCAAGTTAAACGCTCTGCTTTTGACTTTCATTGTTAAACATTGTTAAAAATATCTTCTTTTGTGTTCCACAGAAGAAAGCGAGTCAACATGAGGGTGAGTAAATGATTACAGAATTTTCATTTTTGGGTGAACTATCCCTTTAAAGGTATTTTGGAGAGATGTTTAAGATGATGTTTACCTCCCTAGTAATCTCAATATTGTCTACTTGCTCCTTTGTGGCCACTTTCATCCTGTGCAGCTCGTGCTGCAGCTGAACCAAATCTCTTCCAAAGTGAGCCGCCATTCTTTGATACTCTTGCATGCCTTCAGGAGCCCTGAGCATACAAAAAATTAAAATGTACATGTCAAAATGCAAAGGATTAGTCTCAGGAGTACAGTGACACTATCATTTTTGTCATCTGTAAATATGGAAGTGGGCTTCAGGTTTTTTCTTACACCGTCTTTAAATAGCCTTCTGAACTGTAATAGATGCAGGAGCCAATGAAATCTCACCTCTCCCTGAAGGTTGGCACTGTGTAGGCTTGTTCTGCCATAGCCTCCGTGGCCTGGACCTGCTCCTTCTTCACTACCTGAGAGCTTGATTTCCTGCCATACACATCAGAACAGCATTTGAGTCATGTTTCTATCGTGTGACGGCAGGTGTGAGCAGTCTGCTACACTTCACACTTTGTACTGTCGTGTGAAAGTCAGCATTTTACCTACAGAAGGATGAATTGCATTTATTATAGTAGTATACAGTATATTTACTAAATAGTAGCATTATTCCTAACATACTTTAAATTTTTTTATTTTTAAGTGTTAATTCTGTTTAAATTTCTTAATTCTACAAATTAAATTCAGTTTTGTACCAAATTAACCCTTGTATAATATACAGATAATATAATATAAGTGAAATTAAAAGCCACTTAAGTGTACTTAAAGCAAGTACACATTTATGATTTTTAAAAAGTACACCTTGTAATAATATCAAATTATAAGCTTAACTTTAAAGTACATTAATCTTTTTTGCTTTAATAGCACTCGATTATAATTTTAACTGTAGTGTGTCATTTGATATTACATTTGTAAATGTAAATATAAATGTACTAAATTGCAAATAAAATGTGTAATTAGAAACATATTTAAATACAAATTTCAATAGAAATGACATTAAAGTATAATTAAGTTTACCATGAATGCTTGTCGGTACATTTAGCAGTACACTTTAACCATATTTAAAAGACACAATTAATTATGAAATTACATATCAAGATGCCTTACCTATGGAAGGCTGTTTCCGCCACTGAATAAAAAAATAAAAAAAGGTTATTGCGACTTTTTATCTCACAATTCTGACTTTTCACAGAATTGTGAGATATAAACTCGTAATTGCGAGTTATAGAGTCAGAATTGCGAGATATAAAGTCAGAATTGCGAGATATAAACTCACAATTCGGACTTTTTTCACAGAATTGTGAGATATAAACTCACAATTGCGAGTTATAAAGTCAGAATTGTGAGATATAAAGTCAGAATTGCGAGTTTGTGCTATAAAGTCAGAAACAAGAGTTTATATCTCGCAGTTCTGACTTTACTTCTCAGAATTGCGACTTTATGTCTCGCAATTGCGAGTTTATATCACGCAATTGTGAGAAAAAAAGTCGCAATTACCTTTTTTATTTTTTATTCAGTGGCGGAAACGGGCTTCCATACTTACCCAAGTGGGTCCAAAAAATAAAATAAAAAATTCACTCCTAAGTTTAGCTAACTGTATTTAATATCATTTTAAAACTATAATACATTTTAATAATATGCAGTTAAGTGTCAGGAAACATTAAATTAAGTTTGCTCTTACAATAAGTATATTATTTTAAAGTATATTATTCCCATAACAGGTACTCTTTTAAAATGTGTTCATGTGAACACATACAGTGGTGTGAAAAAGTGTTGGCCCCCTTCCTGATTTCTTATTTTTCTGCATGTTTGTCACACTTTAATGTTTCAGATCATCAAACAAATTTAAATATTAGTAAAAGATAACGCAAGTGAACACAACATGCAGTTTTTAAATGAAGGTTTTTATTATTAAGGGAAAACAAAATCCAAAACTACATGGCCCTGTGTGAAGAAGTGTTTGCCCCCTAAACCTAATAACTGGTTGGTAAAGCATGAGCAGAATAAATACACGTGACAGTTCATTTAAGTATGGTTTTACAAACTATTTACAGCCAAATTTCTTCTTCTCATGTTTTAGGAATAAAGTCTGAAGATCCCATTGCTTTTTGTTAAGAATATTCAAATGATATTACAGATTATGTTGCTGAAGTTTAAGTCAATGCATTAAATAATTACCAAAAGCAGATTATATGAAGGGTTTGAATATAAAATTGAATCCAAACCATTTGACAATAGGGTTGGGTTTGCCGGACACAGTGCAGAACAGCTTGACGGGAGTCTTTTCCCACACGGTGTGAGATCTCAGACTGACCAGGAAGTCCGGTGCTTTGGGAACCTCAGCAGGATAATCCTTCCTCAAAGGCATCATTCCCTTCACCTGTTATAATACAGGAAAGACTGAGTAAAGAGTCCAAGTTAAACGCTCTGCTTTTGACTTTCATTGTTAAACATTGTTAAAAATATCTTCTTTTGTGTTCCACAGAAGAAAGCGAGTCAACATGAGGGTGAGTAAATGATGACAGAATTTTCATTTTTGGGTGAACTATCCCTTTAAAGGTATTTTGGAGAGATGTTTAAGATGATGTTTACCTCCCTAGTAATCTCAATATTGTCTACTTGCTCCTTTGTGGCCACTTTCATCCTGTGCAGCTCGTGCTGCAGCTGAACCAAATCTCTTCCAAAGTGAGCCGCCATTCTTTGATACTCTTGCATGCCTTCAGGAGCCCTGAGCATACAAAAAATTAAAATGTACATGTCAAAATGCAAAGGATTAGTCTCAGGAGTACAGTGACACTATCATTTTTGTCATCTGTAAATATGGAAGTGGGCTTCAGGTTTTTTCTTACACCGTCTTTAAATAGCCTTCTGAACTGTAATAGATGCAGGAGCCAATGAAATCTCACCTCTCCCTGAAGGTTGGCACTGTGTAGGCTTGTTCTGCCATAGCCTCCGTGGCCTGGACCTGCTCCTTCTTCACTACCTGAGAGCTTGATTTCCTGCCATACACATCAGAACAGCATTTGAGTCATGTTTCTATCGTGTGACGGCAGGTGTGAGCAGTCTGCTACACTTCACACTTTGTACTGTCGTGTGAAAGTCAGCATTTTACCTACAGAAGGATGAATTGCATTTATTATAGTAGTATACAGTATATTTACTAAATAGTAGCATTATTCCTAACATACTTTAAATTTTTTTATTTTTAAGTGTTAATTCTGTTTAAATTTCTTAATTCTACAAATTAAATTCAGTTTTGTACCAAATTAACCCTTGTATAATATACAGATAATATAATATAAGTGAAATTAAAAGCCACTTAAGTGTACTTAAAGCAAGTACACATTTATGATTTTTAAAAAGTACACCTTGTAATAATGTCAAATTATAAGCTTAACTTTAAAGTACATTCATCTTTTTTGCTTTAATAGCACTCGATTATAATTTTAACTGTAGTGTGTCATTTGATATTACATTTGTAAATGTAAATATAAATTTACTAAATTGCAAATAAAATGTGTAATTAGAAACATATTTAAATACAAATTTCAATAGAAATGACATTAAAGTATAATTAAGTTTACCATGAATGCTTGTCGGTACATTTAGCAGTACACTTTAACCATATTTAAAAGACACAATTAATTATGAAATTACATATCAAGATGCCTTACCTATGGAAGGCTGTTTCCGCCACTGAATAAAAAAATAAAAAAAGGTTATTGCGACTTTTTATCTCACAATTCTGACTTTTCACAGAATTGTGAGATATAAACTCGTAATTGCGAGTTATAGAGTCAGAATTGCGAGATATAAAGTCAGAATTGCGAGATATAAACTCACAATTCGGACTTTTTTTCTCAGAATTGCGTGATATAAACTCG